ACGAATACAAAAAAATTTATCAAATAGCAGACATTTTAAATAAATGTAATATTAATATAAATAATTTTTCATTTAAATAATCTAATTATAATTCTGCAGTAATTCGGCAGTATACGCGTATATACGTGAAGGATAATCCGTTTAACTGGTCAAATACAAAGGATGTGACCTACTTACTTGATAGACATCAAAAGTAATGTGTTAACATCCTTCCAAGTTAAAATAGAATCAGATAGAATTTTAAACTGGCGTTGTATGTGTGTGATGTGTTAACTCACTTTTAAATAATACGATCATTAAACCATGTAATGAGAACATAGTAAAACTGAATATAATAAAAATCATATAATAATTATTAATTATGTATTACAGTATACAATAGTACTTCTCTTTATATTAAATGCCAATTGATTCATACAGGAAGAGAGCGAATTTTTAGACTTCTTTGGTTGAAAAATAATAAAGTAATATAAAAAAAAGTAGGTTACTGCTGTATGAGAATTATCAAACTGATCTATGTGTGCAATTATAGATATCGCAAAAGATGCAGTCACGCAATATTTAACGATTTATTTTGATCTATATGTAAGGGCAGAAAGTATTACATATAGATTTTTTATAAATTCTATTGTATTACAAATACATCATTATTATTGAACAAAATTTAATAAAGGGCGACATAATATTATGAGAAAAATACATTTTTCATTCAAATGCATATATTCTATGAATCATTATTAAACATAATACAATTTTGTACAAATACATTTAAATAATATATTAATATATTAATAGCGGAAGTAATAATAATATAATTATCCTTGGTACAAATATTTGGAATGGCGAGATGATTATTATGACGATATGCGTAAGAATATAATCTTAAAATACAAACGATTACAAAAAAGAAAAGCGTGTCCAGAATGCACAAAATTAATTCCGAATAGGCGGAAATCTAATACAGCGAATAGAGGAAATATAAAGAAAATAAAAATCCAAAAGATTTAATCGCGCGAGCACGCTCGCGTTTTGGATAAGTACAATAAAGCTTTTTTCGATTTTGCGTAAAATCTTAATCGGTTAACGAATTCCAACATTCGCAGACGGGAACGCGTAAATTGGGTGAACCTCGATCGACATCGAAGGTAGTAATTGCGACAAAATAAATATTTATACAATTTTGTAAAACGTGCAACTGGACATGCTACATTATTATGGATCTGTGTGAATTGAAATTTGCTCATTTCTCTTTTTTCAAATTCCTGCCTATACTGACTGTGTTCCAAAATTTACTATCTGTACTGAAAATTTATAATTTCATGTGTACTATAGATTCTTAGTACTGACAATAAATTTTGCAACAACCATTACAACATGAAATCTAGTTTTTACATGCTTCTAAATCGTTATCACCTGCTACTGCTCTTAATCGTTGCTGCACGGTCGGATTACTGTAACGTCATCTCGCGCCTTACTATGAATCAGTCCGGTGTAATATGACGGCACCGTATGTGAACGGCGTAATTCTAAACTTTGGCCACGTACGCCATTAAGGAATGAGACGCACATCTTACAGAAGTAAGCACTTATTCGCACTATTAAATAGTAGGTCTCGTAATACAAATTACAAGAATATTACACTTCAATCTTAGAAACATAATATTTGGCACACTGTAAAGTCTTAATTTCTAGTAGGAACATTTTGTAATATTTTCATATACTATTTAATGGCAATACAAAACTGAGATATTCATCGCACTGTCATTTGCGATATTCGAATATATGTGTGTGTGTGTGTGTGCGTGTGTGTGTGTGTGTGTGTATTTTTTAATCTCTTTCGGCCGATATAAAATTTAAAACATTTCAATTCCTAAAAGAAGCTAAGAGGGTATACTATGAAGCCAGTTTCACAGCAAGATTGAAGAACACTGAATAGATTTTTTCTAGGTTTCTAAAATCTTAAGCATCAAATATACATCCTGAAATATATTTATCTCTGTGAAGATAAAAATATTATTACAAGGTGATAAGAGGCATAGATGCCTTTTCCTATATTCGAGAAATCACATTTACACATTCTTGAAAATCACATATGGAGATTAAATTAACGCTTAGATTATTATTAATTAAAACTTATGAACAGAAAATAAATTTTTAATTTCTTTGAGAAAGAATTGAAATGTTTTAAAGATCGTGCGATCTAATAATTATTCGTGATGTAATCTGTTAAATGTTGCAAACAAATTTGTGAAAATTTTATTTAAATTAGCCGTTTTAATCTGATTATTGAAATGGAATTGAATCAAAACGTACAACGTTGAATTAAGTTATCTTGTGCTATGTATGTCTTATATCCCATATTTAAACTTTAAACATTTTATATCGCACAGATAGTGAAAAAAAATAGAAAAAAAGTTTCTAAATTTCACTGAAATTTCAATGTTATGTTAACCTGTAATAATAAATGGAACACTTCGAACTTATCTGACAATGAGTGACAGACAGTTTTACAAAGAAAGGAGGAAAAACTACACACTTTCTATTACAAAATTGTCCCCTCGTAATTTGCATAATTTGATAAACTTTTCAAAACAATTAAAAAAAAAATCACATTAGTTGAGGAAGCTCTTTGGTAAGTTCAATTTGCACATTCTCTTTCGAAAACAAAACTAGGTTGAAAAAGATTTTTCACCTCTCTTCTACTATCTTCACCGTCAACAAATATAATATAATCTTTATAATGTACACATTTACTTTTAATTTAATATATACGTATAATATATATACAACGTATGGTAACAATATGAAAACAAAACGTGTCCTTTAGTGAATCTTAAGGAACACTAGAAAGGAGAATATTGACTGGGAAACAATCATATGTTTTCCACGAACTGTCAAATCCATGAGGCAAAAGTTAGCTATGTATATAAACATGAGGAAGCGTGATATTAGCAGCTTTTATTTCGACGGCCTTGACAATATCGTGATGAAACTGACAGTGACAATACCTCGTATCTAATGTTCCGTCTGAACGTGGTAATAGCGCGTATAATGTTCAGAATTGAGAATAGGTCATTTTATATCCAATGGATGGGATAGATGAAGAAGTGGATAGACAGATGGGAAAGAAAGAGGGATGGAATAAATAAAACGTTCGTGGAAACGTATAAAAATTATAAGTACAATTATTATGGTCTAAGAACTTGTAATGAAGAGGGTCTCACGTAAAGGACACGTTTCCACAAAATATTGATACACAGACGATAACTCATGCGCATGTAACATTTTATACATCTTATATCTTATAAAAATAAGATATTTAAATTACTATTTAATATCACTGCTCAAATAAGAGCATCGAGATCAAATGGTCACTTTTATGTTCTTCAGTCGAAAAGTTCAATATCAATAGATAATCTCACGTTTCGATAATGCGGATTTCAAAACTTGCGTAAGTGCACGGATTTAAATAATATGCGCATAGAGTTATCTCTTGTACATTGGTATAACTCTTATATCTATATATACCATAACTATATCTTATCCTAGACTATGTATATATATATATAGAGAAAATTAATAATTTTAATAACAGTTCGCGAAGATGCAATCATGACGTAAATAACATAATTGTCGAAACGTTTCGCTGAACGTTACTATGAAAAAATAAATAAAAATAAATTAAAATAAAGATGTGCGTGTGTCCTGATTGCAAAAATTAGGTGTTAACTTTATGCTACGAGGAAATAAATTTTCGAATAGAAAATAAGAGACTAATGCTGACAAAAATACATTATTAAAATGTCTAGACAAGGCTCTAAGATTTCTCCTTAAAAAATCGTTGTCATTTCGAAGTCAAGGCGAATTAAGAAACGTGATTGTTTTTCTTATCTGTATGCGTGCAATGAATAAACTTTGAACACGATTTTCATTTTCGAATACGTCTCTGAAGTCAAGTTATCAGTATTATAAATGCTGCATTGCATAAATCAATGCAATCTCTACTTCTTAATAATTCACATATCCGGTAAAATACACGGTCAAAAAATCAAGTTCTTCAAAAATTAAAGAAAGCGCCAAACCTCGACATACTTTCATATACGTTCAAAATATGAATTCTAATAAGTTTTTTTTATGCTGGTTCACATCAATCATCTTACTCTCAACAATTAAAATCCAACAGTAGAACAACAAAAACAGTTTTGCTGAAGTATCTAAAGCTATAAGATACAGAAAAATTATTTTGAGTCCAACAAAATTATTTTCAAATTTATATCCATTTTTAGATACATCAGCAAAATCATTCCTCCCCTTCCATGTATCTGACATAAATAGAATATAAATGTGAATTCATGATGTCGAAAATATGATACGTTCATAATTCGCGAAATGCGCTGCAAATGTAAATCCGTAAATGAATCTGGCGAATTATGTAGATTTATCCAGTTTTTTTTAAAAACCACTTCGTGGATTGTTCAAACTTGCATTGAAAATCTTTGAAATGCAATCTCGTTATCTAAGAAATGAATGTGTCCATCTCAAAATATGTTGCTTTTTCTATAATCGTCTAACATTCGGCCTTTCTTAATCAAGATATCAAATAAATATCTTAAGAAAATTGCCTGTCGAGAAAATGTAATATCTAAACTGAGTAATTTAAAAATTTCCCTCTTAATTGTTTACATTCTTTCATGTTCGTAAACAAAAATTACGATTAGCTCTACAGATGTGTGATAATAAGCATACCATATGTACATGTTGCTGAATCGACTTAATTGTGTGACTCTCGAAATACGTATAAACCAGATTTTGTTTTAAATCAACGCGTTTTCAATTCATCAGTATAATTTCGCATTATATCGCATTATTAGATTACAAATAGAATGAATGCGAGAGGTAATAGTTTACATCGTAGGTATAGCTATAAAGATATAAAAGTAAAAAAAATGCGAGAGATCAGCAAAACTGATAAGTCAAATTTTGATCTTGATCTGGTATTATGACATATTCGTGAGGGTGTCAAATAATGTCAGCTGTCAGTATTTACGTTTACAAACTAATGTAAATGTACGAAAAAAAACAATGTATACAATAACCTAGGGAACTAGATTGTCTAACTCGGTACTTGGACGTATGCGGGGATAACGTGTCAGCAGTTGATGTTGATATGCACTCAAAACGTTGCTTGCTTCTTACTCCTCCCTGTTAAAAATCTCACTTAGAAGATATTGTTATTGTTCGAAGATTTATTTATATTTATTCTTATTAAGTAAGACAGAAACAATAGAAACATATATTAAAAGAGGAAAGAAATGTATCGCACATAGGATAATATTCACTAATTAATATCCTAAAATAACTTTTAACATATACGACTTAATAAATTATTAAAATGAGTTATTTATTCTCCTCCTTTTATACTACACGTATTGTCCATTCGTTCATGAAATTATTTGCCCAGATAGTGCCATTATATTGATTTTTTCAGATTCACTATTCTTCAAACTGATGGAACAGCACTAGTTTCTTTCATAAATTTTTTTTACGTAAAAGAGAACGACATATAAGCATAAAATAATTTCTTAAAATTAATTATACAGTTTATCTAAATGTATTTATTTTAGATTAATAATTCTCATTATTCTGATTATTTCTTTTGTACTTTGAAGTTTCATGTATTAGCAAAGAAAACATATAGCTAAAACAAATAAAGTGCAATAATATTATTTAATAAATATTAATATGCTTAAAGAATATGAAAATGTAAAAATCCTAATGACAAAGAGAGAAGTTTAATTTCGTTGGAGGCTGTTTTATTTACTTAATCTACGAGACTTACTTTAATTTCTAATTTATTGGAACATTTTCTATTCATTTACAATTCGTTTATAATTTGTTCATTAGTCATTTACAATTTTTTCAATAGTTTTTTTACAATTTGTTCACTATTTTCATTTATAATTTGTACATATTTATTTACATTTATACACTGAGAAAACAATATGCAATATTAAAATTTTAATAAATATTTGTTTAAATAATATTAGCTGAATATTTATCATACGAATAATTAAACGTTAAGAATTATTAATTTCATGTAAATATAATTTTTTATTCATAAAACATTTATTTAAATTTACAATAAATTTAATATTTACTGTAAGTAAATGTTAAGTTAATATTACTTATGAATAAATATTTATTAAAATTTAGTACCTTTTCCAGTGCATATGTAACTGAAATACATCAGCGTGTATTTACATTCGTATATAAATTACAAATTTGTACTATCTATCATTATTACTATCCTAGAGAAAGAAAATGTTCCACATCTGCGTGGAAAGTGTCAAAACTTCTTACTTGCTATTTTGCCCGTAGAGTTCCTCGCGAGCTTAAAGGCATTTGCTGTGCTAATGGGATTGGGATTATACGGACCGCTTGGACAGTATTTAACCGTGTGTGCCTCATCACCAGTTGCGCCACAGATCGGGCACGTATAAGCCCTATCAAACAAAAATATTATTTTTTATATGTATATAAACACAAGACATTTAATGTTAAAAAGAAATAAATTCCTAATGTCATGTTATGAAAATATCCGTCAAAGAAGACTTTAAGCGTCGTAAAAAAAGATTACAGATTATCTGTGAGATAATCTGTGCAGGCTTTTTGCTTTTTGCTTTTTACTTCTTTAATTAAAATTAAAGAAATCGTATTTGAAAAATTTTTTTATACAAGATTATTTAGAAAATAATTTTTCTTACGAAATTAAGTAAAAAAAGGGCAAATAGAAGACAGGCGTGATAATTGTTGCGCGAAATGATTACTGCGCCTGACTATTTTGCCTGTCCTTTTTTCACTTAATTTCTTTTTTAACAATAAGAAGTCCTTGTAAATTAATTTATAATTTTTCTTTTTATATTTTAGGCTTTATCTTTTTTTTACGTGATATATTTTTATTTAGATGTTATTTTATAAAACGATAACTGTATTTCAATTGTATTACCACTATATTCTCGCAATATGTAATCGCACTTTATACAAATATATTTGAATTAATCGAATATTATAAAAAAATGATCTTAAGGTGAAAATCGTAATAATCTTTCTTTTTTTGCGTGTTTTGAAATTTATAAAAAAAGAAAATCTGTCCATAGTCAATTTCCAATATAGATATTAATATAGACATGTAGAATAGTTTTGAGAATATACAGAATATACATAGAATAGAGCAAAATTCACAGATTATATCTTCGACGTGTTCCATGAACAAAAATACAACATATATAATTAGTCAAAATTATAAAAAGAAAAACATTTTCTTTTCTAATATATTTATATTACCATACAGTACACTTTATTCGAGAAACTGGGATATACTAAAGAACGTCCTTAATGCTGATTCTACAATAAATGTGTAAATGTTCTACAATACTCGTAGAGTCGCAAGCCATAAGCTATAAGAAATTAACCATAATCAATTATGTTTTTCATATTTAACTGTAATTGGCCAATTTCTTATGGCTTATGATTCTATTATAGAATAGGCATAAAAGACCGGTATTCATAGTTGGTTCTTATTTTAAGACTGTTTTAAGTAATATCTTAAGATGCTAATATGGCCCTCTGATTGGCTTATGCCATCTTAAGATTATTTAAGACAACCTCAAATATAAGAATCCACTATGAATACCGGCCTAAGATTTCCGACTACCGACTCATTGTAAATCAGCATAAGACATTCAAATGTCCTCTAAAGGCCATTAGGACGTCCATTGAAGATTTATGTTGTATGGGTAAAGCACACCTATAACGAATAGACTATGGTGGGTGGTCCATGATACACGGTTGATTATGCTCATTATTTTGTAAATCCTATGATACAAGACTTACACTAAAAGTAGGACCCAGACCAATTTGTAAGATGCCACATTGTGCCCTGGTGTGTGAGCTTACAAATGATTTAGTAACAATAGAAAGGCAAGATAAAAAAAATTTTTTCACGCTTGCTTTTCCATATTTTTTATTATAATATATAAATATTTGTACTAGAATAATTAGAATAGTTTAGGAGTAATGTCTAGGTGTATATCTATGGGGTATCTATTTTAAAAATAAAATATGAAGAACTACTATATAGAAACTATTATCAAAGTACTATCAAAAATTTAAGCTAAAAGTTTAAAATATATCTCTACAAACGAGTACTTTTAATCTTTAGCTTAAATATTTGAATTCTATAATTCCATTATTTTTCTATATATTTTGAAAATAGACACACTCCATACATATTTCCATGAATATTCTCCCTAAATAAA